GAATGACAATGTAGTTGAGTAGTGGGTGTAAGTTTTAAGTAAATGGAATAGTGGTATTTGATAGTGTGTCACGTGTATTTTTAAGAAGTAAGGAAAGATAAAAAAAGTAAAACACATGTACTTCAAAGAAAGGTTAAGAGGAAATCCTCTTAACTATCTCCATATTTGAACCATCAAGTCAAATTCTCTAGAACATCCCATATGTGAAGGTAACTCATAAACCTTGTCACTTGTTCTAAGTTACTTTCACTTTTCCATACAAATAGTTGTTCCATACTTGTAACACTTTGGGCGCTTTTACGGTTGGAACTTCAGAACTTTCTGCGGTTGGAACTATCTTGGGCGCTTCTGTACTTGGAACGCCCTTGGGTGTTTCTGTGCTTGGAACACCCCTAGGCGCTTTTGTACTTGGAACGCCCCTGGGTGCTTTTGCGCTTGGAACGCCTCTAGGCGCTTCTATACTTGGAACACCTTAGGTGCTTCTGTACTTGGAATGCCCTTAAGAGCTTCTGTACTTGGAACACCCCTAGACGTTTCTACGCTTGAAACTTCCCTGAACGCTTCTGTACTTGGAACACCTTAGGCGTTTTTGTGCTTAGAATACCCTTAGGTGCTTTTGCGTTTGGAATGCCTCTGGGTGTTTTTGTGCTTGGAACATCCTTAGGTGTTTTTGTGCTTGGAACGCCCCTGAGTGCTTCTGCGCTTAGAATTCCCGTGGGCGCTTCTATATCTAGAACGTCCCTGGACGCTTCTGCGCTTGGAACACCTTGAGCGCTTCTGTACTTGGAATGCTTCTGGGTGCTTCTGTACTTGGAATGCTTCTGGGTGCTTCTGTATTTGGAACACCCTAGGCATTTTTGTACTTGGAATGCTTCTGCAGTTGAAACGCCTTTGGGCGCTTCTATACTTGGAACACCTTAGGCACTTCAGCACTTGGAACATCTCAGGGAATACTTGGAATGTAATTATTTTGTAAAATCAAAATTAGGTATCTACAATGAGAATATGATTCTCTAATACAAGGGCTCCGGTGATGAGGAGTATGATAATGCTGCAACAAAGTCGTTCCAATTCCTGAAAGCTCCATCAGCTAGAGCTTCATCTGTGGAACTAAACGCACTCTGAGGAGCATCCATCTCTCTCTCTTCCTCTTTTTAGTGTTTTTTTTTTTGGCGTTTGGTTAGAAGAAACTACGAATTCGAGTAGTTTGTTGAAACGTTAGGTCTCTTTTTGGACTTTTGGAGCTGAAATTGGACTAAAATGGCGATTCAAAAATCTAAAATCTGCAATGATTTTACCATGTTCTATAAGACAGGTTTTGGTATTTATTGTTAATTGCTACTTTTTTCTGGACAAACTCTAATTTTGAAAATAGTAATTAAAGTATTCTTATAACGTATAAAAGGCTTGATTAAATTTCTTTTTAAGCGATTTCTAGATCAAAGTTTCTCTTTCTCATTTATTTATGCATCTGTACTTATAAAGTTGAAAATCGACTTTTTTTAAGCATTAAAAATACTTTTTGTATGAAAAGTTGAAATTTCAAATTAAAAATTATTATATATCCAGAATAGGTTAATAGTTTGGAGTCACAAAAATGATATTTTAATTTTAATATTTGAACACTTAATTCAAGGACTAGAACATATATTGTCATGTGAAAGATTGAGTTTTGAATTTTTTTTAATTAAAAACTGAATATCATGCAAATGTAACCATAAAAATGTTGAAAATAGTTGTGACATGTCACGTTCAGATTCGATTGAATTTAATAAAAACAAATTTGTAAAGTTTTTTAAATAATTTTGAAAAATGTAGGTATTACGCTACTATGGTCCTGCGCTTGGCCTTTGCTTTTGATTTCTCCGCTGCCATGTCCTCAGTTCCAAACAGAAAAGGTTTAGTCACTACTGATATGATTTACTAGTCTCCAGTCACATTTCCCCACTTGGCTCGCCTCGGCCTCCATCAATTTTAGTCAACCTCAAACGCTTCCAACGGACTGCCCACATGCTCATACCCATTGACTATCGTCCTTAACGACAAGCTTAGGCAACCACAAGTTCTCATTGCTAACGTTTTGCAGGGGAAAAAAAAAACCAGTCCTTTTGTCTTGTTTTTCTTCTCTTACATTCAACGTCAATAATCATGTCTCATTCAATCGTTTGCAATTCTGGCCATCATGGCTTCCTTTCAGTCTCAGACCAACTGTGAAAAACTGTTTCTTTCTCTTGTTTCTGTTTTCTTTCTTTTACTGTCACTGCCTCCCATGTGTGCCGTAAACTCAGTTTCAGCTCCTTTGCCGTGCGGTAAAGATTCTGGGCCTGAAGTTCCCACAATCCCGTTACTTGGTTTGCTTCAACGTATCCAGGAAACTGCTTTGAAAACTTATAGGAAATCAAGCTTTGATCCTAAGGACTATGTGGATTTATCATTAAAGTTTAATCTTTCAACCACTGTGGAGGCATTCGATAAACTTCCCAAGACTGCAAATGAGTCCGTGTCTGTTAAGGATTTGGATGCTTTTATAGTAAAGTACTTTAAAGGTGCAGGGGAGGATCTCGTCTATGCTGACCCATTGG